CAACATACTGTACCTATATTAGGTGGATTATGGGGTGCCTCTCCTGCACGTGCTCGTCGTTACTTATTTCATATTTTTCAACCGATGCTCGTACCATCAATTGCTCGTCAATATAAGGGTGCGGGGGATCAACAATTTCTTTCTGACTACATCTGGAGCAATGTTAAAACATATTCTTTAATTTTTGATAGTTATTATTGTAATATATTTGGTGGTCAGCCATTTCTTTCTCAACGACCAATAGGTGATAATTGTTTTCTTGGATGTATAAGATCGTGTTGTATCAATACAACTTCTAGTGGTTCTCCGAATCAAAACAATACTTGTCCACCAGCTTGTCGACCAAAAGATCATCAAGATTGGATTTATTGTTAAAAGCTGATTCTACTTTTACACTTTGTTTTCAAATTTTATCAACAAAAAAGAAGATTGAATCAATTGAATGTCAAATAAAGATTAGGAAAACATATATTTATTGCAAACTGATGTTTTTTATGAAAATAAAAAGATCATGTCATTTATGTGTTAGTGAAAAAAGAATAGTGAGTGTTTATGTACATGAAACGTTGATGTTTAATGTTTTAATATTAGCAATTTGTGCACTGATCCTCATTAGACTATTAAAAATCTATAACTTCTTTGAATAAAATTTGAATCCAGAACATTATTCATTGATAAGAAATATTGGCTGTATCGGTATTTAGATAGATATTCAACATTTCATATAGCAAACAAATATGTTATTTAATTTAGGAAGAAGTAACTAAATCTGCTACATGATGATGTTTGCGCCTCATGAAAACCTCATTATTTGACTTTTTCTTTTTTTTTCCACAAAAGATACAATTCATCAAATTTTCCAGCGCAATTTTTTATCGCTATTCAACGTGATCGATGAATTTTTCGCGTGTACTCATGAAGCAAAAAAATATAAAGTTAAACAGAAATTAACATTACTTAACGTGGCGGAAATTCAACTGGCTAAATTTTTCATGACGTTTTTTCCATTGATAAATCTTCAAAACAGAAAATAGATCTACGCACTCTTTTAAAAGTACCGGTTCGCAGATTTTTGACTTTCTTCTCACTTTTTTTTTCTATTTATTATTCAAACTATTTCATTCTGATTCAGTATCAACAACAGAGTACAACTGTAAACATATCTTATTACGTTTGATTAATGTTATCTCATTGAACAAGCTCAACGGAAACTACCTTGTCTCAGAAGGACTCCTAAATCTTCAAAAGCTATCGGGTGTTTTTCAAAGAAGTATTCTCAAATATAACACATCATGCCAACAGCAAGAGACAGAGAATCAACTTATGAAGTTTTTCAGGACCAACTACAATGTTTAATCAGAAAATCAGTTTTCTTTTGTTCAGTGACGAAGTTCAACAAAAATGGACTTGTATTGGGCAATTTTGATCACCATAGTTTTATTCAATGAGTAAACGCATATTATATTCAGAATCAGCACAACAAACTAAATTGAACTGCATATGTTTTACTGGAATATGTTTTTAATCAAAATCAAGCCTGCAGGGGATTACAAACGAAAGTATTGAAGCAAAAGAATGCAGAGAAGTACAGATGTGTTCATTACCAAAAATATTTTTCAGAAAAACATATATCTGTCGATACCGTTTTTGATGCTGATTCCAAAAATTATATGCATTTAATCATTGAATTAGATTATGCTGATCAAAATTTCTCGATGGGAGCTTTTTTTGTATCATATCACCTTAGAACAAGAGAGAGCAGATTTTCCGGAAACGCGTATTCTTAAGTCTCTTCTCAGTCTATTGGTGGTTCAAATGATGTGCGTGATATTTGAGAAATGGTCTTTAGACAAAACAAAACAGACAAGTTTTGAGATCCAAGAGTCAGTCTGGATCAAGGCGACTTCTATCGAGCTTGTTCAGCGAAGTAACAATAATCAAACATACTCAAATATATACACTTTACTTCATTTTTGATACGTAAATCAAAATAAAATACTATGAATAATATATAGAAAAAGAAAGTGACCGAAAATTCGAGATTTCGTTTAACATGTTAAAGTTTTCACATTCCAAAAAAAGAAATATTGATTTCTCTGATTCATTATGACTTTCTTCATTTCGAGAACATGGTCGATATGTTATAGTATTCAACTATCAATCAAAGTAAATTTAATATATTTTAGAACTTGCTGTCGAAGTCTTGAATTTTTGGCAATGAAACATGAACTATCTGCATTTCATATTATTATTTATTCAAATTAATAAAATATACAACGAAAAAACTAAAATCGTTACACGGAGAAAAGACTTTCATTATTAACCTTTTATTCCCCTTGGGTCACTGGTTTGACTATTAATAGAACGGTTGCAAAAAATACATGATGCATGAGTTTTGAAAACGATAAGAACATTTGTAGTAGTGAATTTCATACGTTATTCACTAATAAAAACAATATTTCATTTTCAGCGTTCCACATTTGAAGTATCAGGCTTATAAAATCAATAATTTTGAATAGAAAGAAAAAAATTCGAATTTTTTCGAAATAAAGTTTTCTTTAACTACACTCAATCAAGATCTTTTGTAATTTCTGTGTGATACAAATCAATAAAGAAGCCTACTAGTGCATTGGATGTATCAACAATAAAGTTAATATATGTATTATAAATCTGAACTCATGAGAGGTTGAAGTAGTATTTATCATGAATTAAATATCTTTAGTGGTGAAAATATGGATAAAAAAACAAGGTGAATGCTTATTTAACAAGATGTATCAAAAACAGATGCATTCTTTTGAAATTAATTTTCATCGCTTTTCTCCGTCCTTTTTTTCTATGGTTACTCTAACATAGGATTGATATTGCTTTTCCAGACTCAATAATGTGCTCAAAGAAAAAAGAATTCAATGCTTGATGTGTCGTTCAACCCTCTTTTTTCACCACCCGGTCATTGGACCAATAAAACGGTTCTACATAAAGAGATCAACACCTAGTTGATGAGACCACATCATTAACATATTAGACAGGCGAATACTCTATGCATAAAGTTATTTTATTAGTGTCTCTTCTGGAGCCGCTGTGAAAGGTAAAAGATTAAACGCATCATTACAATCATCGTATTTATAATTCTATGTTAAAATTTTAATATGAAAAAAAAAGCAAACCTTTATCAACTGAAAATATAACATTTATTCTTTTCTAAGTGTAATATATACTATATATAGTAAAGACTTCTGATTACCATTGATTAGAATGATGTTTTTTCGACTTGAATTCTTTCCTATTTATCTTACTGAATAATTCACTTGACGCATACAAAGCTATAGTTTCGACATAATATATGATACAAAAGTAATGGGACAACTGTCGGACCGTATCTGTTTTCGATTGAAACCATGCTGAAAGAAAACTTTTTTAACCAAAAGATAGAGGATTTTCTTCTCTTTCGAATCGTATATAACTAATTTCTATAACACACTCATAAACGAAACAATGTTACGCAAAAGAGAAACATTCTTAAAATTAATTCGCATTTCTTCTGTAAAAAAGCCGCACAAAAACAGATCCTGATATCTCTTCCATAGATATGTTCTGCAAAGAATATTTTTTTTATCAATTCAAAAGAAATTTTCTTTCTTTTCGAACAGTGTATGATTCATATTTGTCTCATATTGGTAAGTAAAACGAGACGAGAAAAAATAGAAACACTTGCACAATTGATTTATTACTTCTATTTGAATTCGTTACATATATCTTGTAGACAAACGTTGATGACAATTAACTGTTGTTTTACAAGATGCTTGTAAAAAGTTCATACAAATTCAAGTAACCACAGATTGATAAAATCTTTTTAATGAGTTCATCAAAATAACATTAATTGTCGCCTAACAAGATGTTTTTGGTGAGTTCATATAAAAATTATAAATTTATTTTGCAAATGTTGATTGACGTATGTGCGACGTATATAAGTCATATAGTGCTTGATACAGGAGAAAATTACCTATCAACTGATAAAAATATTCTTTGCTTTAAAACGTATTGATGGTAGAATTATAGGGAACAATGTTTTGCACCATTTTTCTAAATCTCACCAAAAATGTGGGTTTTTCTTATAAATGCTTCTCTTTTCTGTTGCGTCGTTTTTTTTCATGAACATATGAGAAAAATATATTATATATTGTTTGAAACCGAAGAAATCACTCTCTCTTTCGGTAAAACACTTTTCATTCAGTACCATTGTATTGAAGAGAAATAGGATTCGACATTGGTCCAATTACTTTTGCATCACATGTTAGTTATCGCTTTTTTTCGACGGCACACTGTAGACAAAGAAAAAAGTGAATATCTTGAGTTCCTCAATATTGCCAATGCGTTTGTAAGATTTCTCAATTAGTGAATGTCCTGTGGAGAAATTCAAGCCATTCGAATGCTCAAATTTCTATCAAGAAAAACTAAGTGGTTCAAATCTAATTTATTGTTTTCCACTCAATGTAAATCAAACTATTAATTAATTTGTATTTGATGTTAAGGACAAAAATTCCATTACTAGTATTATTGAATAAAGTTCACAAAAAAATTATCTACCAATCATTCATTTAGTTATTATGAGTAACTTTATATAAATTTTTACTTACATATATATATATATATATATACATGGAAATCTGTGTAACAAATCGAGTTACCTACACTAGCGTAACTGATATCTCTTTAGTTTATGCATATCGACTAATTCATTTTCTTTTTCTTTAACTTTATTTCTTACATATCAAAACGAAAAATGAATATTCTTTCATATAGACAGCTTACAATTACATTCACTTGACAAAAGTGACCTACACTACAG